ATCAAACAATATGCAAAAGAAGCATTTTTGTAATAAGTAGCAACCCATCCTACTATGGGAACTTTAGTACAGTGTAATTTGTTTTTTAAGTAGAAGGTAAATTATAATCATAAAATGTACTTTTCCTACACAATTTGCAGGTCCAGTTCTCATTTAAGCTGGGATGGCGATATGGTACGGGACCTGGTTGCACTCCAGCGTTGATAGGTTCCCTGGTTACCGGGATGAATAGTACCTTCTGGAGATGTACGTCAGGTTGTAATTCGACCTCCCAGTCTTTGAGTACAGTAAACTATATATGTACAGGAGCAAGCGTAGCTGAGGATTGGGAACAAGGGGAGAGGACTTTTGACTATACATTTCCCGGGGAAGGCCCTTTCGTCGTTGAGTAAGATGATAGAGAACACTACTTTTCTTCACAAATACGATTGCCATAATGCCATTATATGAAAGGATCTTTGAAGTTATATCTTATATCCTGCTATTCTATGTCAATAAGCTATATTAAAATAATTATTTGTTTGTTTTTATCTAGCCATCATAAAAAGGAAAACTGCTTGGTTTTGTAATTCAATGGTTCAATGTTTGTCTTTTAATTTATTTAGATTTGCAAGTTGTTGCTGGATAAGTTTGGACTATGGGTCTGGTAGTTCCTGGTCAATTCGTACAGTCGTTAATTTGGCCAGTAGGAATGATATCCAGCAACCTAACACCAGTCCTGTCACAACAGGGAAACCAATGTACACGTAAGACTCGTCATCTTTTTTGATATACAAAGTGATAAAAACTGGGTCTAAAGTGACCTGATAAGATATTTCACCAACGTATGGTGTTATTGCTACTGTAAAACTTTTGCAATCACTCCTTTTCTCTGAACAATTTGTTCACTTTCATTAAGAGAAGTAAAACAAAAAACTGTCGATGAACGCATAAGCTCGCTATGTATTTTAATGTTTAATGAATACCAAAAGCAGTAAAATCAAACGTCGTAGAAAATGTCTTCAATATAAAAATGTTATGGTTTCAAATTCTTTTTCAGACTACAGTATGGTTGTCGGCTTGCCTTACAAATTCCAGTAGCAGATACTGATAGTGATATTTTAAGATGTCGTTGGTCCACAGGGTCAGAATGTGTCTCTGTCTGTTCCGCTCTCCCTTACGCCAGCTTGGATAGAGTAAATCAATATTTGATAGATACCATATCATTATAATTGAGTATTAAAAAAATTCATCCCAAAATAATACACCCATTCTCAATATAAGGGCTCAAATAATGTCGCCTCATTTTCATTTAGAAGAAATACCACTGATGCAATTTTTAAATCAACATTATAAATGGTCATATAACAATGAATAAGAATTCATATAATTATCGATCTGAAAGGGTATTTAAGGAGTTCCAAATTCAAATATAGTAGCCTATTTGAAATGTACGTTACTGTCGCCGAGGCAAATACTATGGTGAATCCCCTCTGTTTAATATATAGTTTTGATTCTCAAGTAAAAATTTTCTGATTAGTTAAACCTTGTATCATATATATTTTTTTTCATAACAATAAATACATTTTCTTTGTGATAATAAATAATTTTTATTGTGCAATGTCCCTGTCGCTTAATTCTATGTCAACCACATTACAAGCAAACACAAAGATTATACACCTGATAGTTTTGTTCTCCTTTATTTATTGACGGGCTAAATTTGAAATTTCAAAGGATTAATTACTCCTACTTAGATAATGTAACATGAAATTGAACAATTTGAGCAACTTTTATAAATATGTTTACGGAATGAAAGACATTTTCAATCGTAGAGATAAGAAAGAAATGTACGTTACCTACATTTTTCCATTAAGAATATATATTTAGTAGAAAATATGAGATGACTCTGAATAAGCAACCCCTTGTATCCTGTAAACTGGCAAAGACGTTTTGCTTAACACAATTAAAAATTATTTTTTACATGAAAAGTGATCATTTGAAATGTACGTTACTGAAATGTACGTTACCATGAAATTCGAATTAAGTGAATCTTGCACGAATTTTCATGTATTCTCATACTTTCACACATTCGAATGCGTACACAAAGGAAAGTTTCAAAGGTTGGAGGTCGGCTAAATCCCGAAATGAACGAAAAGAAACGTTTCTGCTGAGGAAAAAAAATATATTATGGTCAATTATATGTAATATTATTTTGATACCTGGTATATATTTCTGAATACGAAACCTGTATGATGGATTTCTCATGATATGCAAGTTCAAATAGTATCAATATATTGCGTGTCTAACGTACGCTTGTGGAATAGAATTGATTTCTATATTTGAAATGTACGTTACGTATGGTAACGTACATTTTGCGGATTTCTGACTGACATTTTTTTTATTTAGTCAATGAATTGCGTTTACACGAGCGAAACAAAATTATCGTTACAATCCATTTGACAACTGACCACATAAATCCATCTAAATGCACCCCCTATCCTCGTAAATGTGGTAGACTGTTACCCCATGCTAGAAAAATTATTTCTAAGTGTCTAAAATTCATCTTTGGCAACCTTTTTGCAGTTTGTTTACTTTTAATATGCGACTTTTCGTCAATATTAATTTAATTGTTGTTGATAATTTCAAACAAGGTATGCATTGGCTTATAATTGGTAGAAAAAAAAACAAAACAAAAGAAAAAGAAACAAAACAAATAAATCCAGAACACAAGACGGTCACGTACATTTCAAATACTGAAAGGCACACAATACTCAGTTTTGTTTGAAACATTGCATTTTGAGTTATATTTTTCCAGATCTGCTGAAAAGCACGTATGTTTGTGTTTTGACAAACGAAGTTGCAACATATTAAATGAAATTGTTAACAACACTGTCGATGGATATATTCGGAATAGATTTATGTTAAGTTTCAATGGCCAAACACGAGCATTTGCTAGATCATAGCAAAATACGTCTGAAACTTATTTTTTTTGTCTGTACCCTTGCACACAGGTAGAAGTAACTAGGCTACGACTGGTATCAATTTCAGCGAAACAGCATAAAAGAAAGGTAATGAAGTGAGGTGGAGGGGACTCCCCAATAATATGTGAAATGAACGTTACCGAAGTGACGTGACATTCATGTAGTTGATGACAAATAATCTCGTTTGTTACATTATGATTTCTTATATTACTGCGTTAAAACGCTTCATTGAAATGATTTTAAGTCAATAATTGTTTTTTTTTTCAATATTTTCTTATTACTAATTTACATATTTTTACAATCTTGAAATGAACGTTACCTACTCATATTCTGAGGCAATCGTGTCTTTATAGTGGTGATTGTGACATATAACACAATGCGATTACATAGAGAATTTTTTTGGAATAAACTGAAACAAAACGATGAATTTTAGATGAATTTAAGCTTTTTATTAAACAGAAATATATCTTGAAATGTACGTTACATTTACCTAGTTTTCTAAATCGACATGGATATATGTTAAAAAAGACAGTAACTACTAAATAGAATTTTACTACATGTACATGTTAAGTTCCAGTATCTATAGAAAATAAAAAGATTCCAAACTGATCGCTCTAAACAAAACAGAGAGAAGAATTTAAAGCATATATTTAAAAAAATGTTTTTATAAATCTGGATCAAAAGTAACCTTTGTTTTTTGAAAGGAAAAATCAAACGCACGTTCGTATGCCGAGAAAATATGTTGCTGACAGAGTTAGTAGGATGTGCTGGTTTTAAGATGAGATATTCCAATTGTGATTTTAATGAGTACATTTTTTTTGACATATTTTTTTGGACATTGAAGAAAGAGTAACGTACATTTCAAGCTACATTTCTGAATAAAATCACCCTCTACTTTACCGTCTTGTCATTATTCCATGTATTAAAATTTGATGAAAAAAATCTGGAAACAAAATCTTCACATACTTTCTTTCAATGGTAATTGATAGAAAAATTGTTATCTTGAACTTCATTTTTTAAAAAATCAGAGTGGCATTTGTGCCCTTATATTGAGAATGGGTGAATACTCTATTTCAAAATCAAGCAATTCATTCTTACTTGATATTGATTTTTATGAATAGAATTTTTAATGTTTTCATAGGAAACTTGCACGATATCCTTTCCATCAAATCACACTGTGAATGGTACATATGCTGTAGCTGTAACTGTAGAAGACTTTCCCCGCTCAAATATTACTATTGGTGGGACGACGTATACTCCATCTGACCCAATGACGGCAATTCATCTCCAGGTAGACTTAAAAAAAAATTAAACCAAGATGTTTACATTTTTTTTCAAATTCAAACTCGGAGGCTTTTCAGTTCTTAATTAAGTTGGTGTGAATTTTTCAGTTTCTTGTGAGGACTGCTAGTTTGTCTGGTGGTTGTGAGGAACGACCTGTTTTTGTCAATAACACTCCTCCAGAGGGCACCATTTTTAACGTTTTGACGGGACAAACGTTACACATTTCATTTTACATCGCTAGCAATCAAACGTACGTTCTTTTAAACATTGTTCATTTTTATTGTCAATAAGAAAACCGATTTCACAAATATATTTTTAACTGCAAATTATTTTTATCGACCTTTTTTTTAAAAGAATAACAAGAGTTGATGTTACGTCACCAGCTGGGATGACGTATACTTCTCCCATGCCATATCCAGGACGACCAGGGGTTTTCTTTATAAACACAACATGGACACCAACAGCACTACAGATTGGTTCACATATACTATGCGCCTTAGCAGAAGATAATAATGGGTAATTTGTCCAAACAGCAAACGATACGTAGTCCTCTAATGTGCAATGCATATATAATATAATAATAATTATATAAGGGGTCTGAAATAATTAAACATATAAATGGTAATGTCTGACGTATATGTACAATGAGACATTTCACACAAATGTTTAGAATGTGGTAATATGAAAAAGAAATGCACACAGGCCTTTTTTGTTTTTTGTTGTTTTTCTTTTTTGGGGGTGGGGGTGGGAGGGTGGGGTCATTATTTATATTATTTTTGTTGACAGGAATCTGACTCTGTATGATATATTTTACAAGACATTACTTACTTTTTTTAAATATTCATATGTTACATCTTTTGTAGAAAAGCAAGTGATTCTCGTTGTGTTCAAATAAGAGTTTCAGGTATGTGTAAACTTTTTTTTTAAGTTATGGAATAAAAAATAAATATGCCTTATCGCAATCTTATTTATTTTTTTTTATGACATAGATATAAGCCCCTGTATATATGAACCTTGTCTGAATAATGGGACGTGCATTCGTGTTTACGAGAGTGCATTTATTGGGTATTTTTCATGCCAAGATTGTACTTATTGGGTACTTTTTGCTTATTGGGTATACCCAATAAGAAGTGTCGCTGAATATGCTTAAAACACCCTAATTGGGTATTTGCAGGTTAGTACCCAACAAAACTTGGACACGACGATTTGTCCAAAAAAGTGTCCAAAATAGTTGCTTTCACGGACGCACCGTGTTTTGTTGTAACAGTTTTACATTCGGAACTCTAAATTCTCGAGAGTTCCGAAAATCAACTTCCGTTGATCCTGATCATAACAACGTTTGTTTTCATGGAAAATAAATATGGCGACTAAGAAACACTTAATGTCAACAAGATTGTCTGATTGACAAGAGAAAAGGTAAGTTTATTCGATTAATATTTATCCATTGCTGGGTTCTTGTTTAAGGAAAATAGATTTTTATGTAATTTTGAAAACAATTGTGCACAAGATTAAAATAGATATATCGAAACAATTAATCCTAAGTTGCACTTGTTTGTATTTTGAATTTTCTCTGTCTTTTTAACTCTCTTGAGGGCGAGAAGTATTTCGTAAATGATCGTATATTGTTAGATAAATCTTTAATAAATCGAAAGTGTTTATTATTTAATTTTTATATCATTACCAACTAAGTATGTTCTGACAATGTATATTGGAAAGGGAAATGAAAATTTTAACAATCGTGTGTTCATAAATCAGCTGTAATTTATCGGTTCATGTAGACAGTATTACAATCGCAAAGTGAGCTGAGATGATGATAAATGGGATAATTGACAACAACTAAATAATTGTATGTAAGTTTATCTCATCTGATATGTAACTTAAGAGATTCATTGTATTACTGAAAAACTTTCAGTCGAAACAGTGCTTCTTTCTGTCTCTGATTTTTACTGTCTGCTTTATTTTGATTTTTTTTTTAAATTATTGTTTTTGTCATTTGTTTTAAGGTAGTCCGATCCTCAGGTTTATAAAATTAGCAGTTAAGTACTCAAAAGTACTCATAAAAGTATCTCTGAATCCACAAAGTTATGTAAATTTATCCACAGTATTTCTTTAAATTTAAAACTTAAAGTTAATCATAATATATATTTGGAAAATTGTAAAATCTCCAATATTTTTGCAGGAAAAATGAATTGGAATATCAGCAATGCAATTTCTAATTGCAAATTGATCAACAAATATATTTTAGGGTAAAAAACGATAGGTATCCAGGCATTCAGAGAAATTGCCATGATTTTTATACTTATTTGGTATTTTTTGTCTTCTATTTCCGCCATATATTCTATAATACATAGTGTGAAAGGCTTTTGCTATCATTGCAAGACACCACATATCACTCTTTATATCATATTATACTATTAAGCATTAGTATCTAAGGTTGGATTCAAGAAAATTTTATTTCTCTAAAACGGTATTAATTTTTTCCCTTTGATAGGGTATAAAAGTGAACTTTTATAAGACCTTTTCCAAGACTTCCAAAAACCTTGAATCTTATAAAGATGAATAAAATGAAAATTGTTGCATGAAAAAAATTTCATTTTCAAGCTTCATTTTGATGCATTTCAAATAAAATGTTAATATTTGGAGTTATCCTTCCTGGCTGAGGATCGGATATCCTTAAGTAATTTAAAACAATACTGAAATTAATATAGGGCTACTATAACTATTTCACATGATGGGTGTGTAATTAGCATCGCGCTACACCCGGGGCTTCTATTTTTGAGGATGGGGCTAGTGGTTTTCTGCACCCGAGGAATCCCCTTGGGCTATTAGGAATTTTAAAATACACATGTAATACATGAAAAGCACCACCGGTATTTTCACTCTTTTTTGCTATTAAATTCCCTAATGTGGAAATATTCCAGACAACATGCTCATATTATCCATAAATCTCCACAACTGCATCCATTTTGCAGTATTACAAGACTGATTTACTTCAAACGATCTTTTATTTCCTAATTTGAATTCCCCCCTTTCCTATGTTTGATATAGCAATATTTGCGTGTACATATATGCCTCATAGATATCTCATTATTAAATTATATACATTCACTCAATCAGCTCAATGATAAGTGTCATGCAATTATGTAGCTTTTTTTAAGCCATATATAAATAACTGATCAAAAAATATATTTTTGAAAAATACAAAATTAAGTAAAGAAATATAGTTAATACATTTGAATTAAAGCTTTTCATGCAATTCAGAGCACGGAGAACACCTCGTTTTATCTAATAATACGATTTTATCTTCTCTGTAATGTGTTATTTAAATCTTTTGTATTTTCTTCCAAGTCGGAGAAAATTCCGAGAATCCAAATTAAATTTTGATATCTTTATAACGCAATTGACTTAGATTTTGTAATTTACGGAAAATTTCTATCTTAATCATGTTTATATAAAGTAATGATATAAATAATAAGTTCTTATAATTTTAGTCTAATAATTTTCATTGTACATACGCCATATATGGCTTTAAATGATTCAAGATGAAAAAAAATTGATTTTTGCTTCGTTTTAATTAGACGAACTAGTGAATGACCAGAAAAGGAATATTCAAAATCTTTTTTCCATTTTTTTAAAATCATTAATTTATATTTGATTAAATTTTACTAGCGAAAATTAAATTTAACTTTAATTTTAAAAAGAATCATCTGTAGTTAATACCCTGACTTTTTTCACGATGAACTTTTTTTCAATGTTACTTTTTAATTTTTGCCTCTATATTTGGGCTTGTCACTTTTTACTCGGGTAGTAACTTTATTGCCACAAAGCTGTGGATTAGTACTTGATTTCCTTTATTGCACAGCGATGACTATGATTTAATAGCACAAAAAGCTAATGGCTTTACATATGTGAATTTATATGATTAATGCTTACGTGTGATTTTAGGATAACTGGAGATAATGATTCCTTTTTTTCCATTGATATAACATAAACATTTTCCTAAGTATTATGTTACAATAAATTGGTTTAGATTTTTTTAAATAAAAGTAATCAATACTTATTATGGAAATTAAAACCATAATCCTGTTCATTGAGGATTTTCAATATGTAACAGGTCAAACAGGAACTTCAATTGTGAACATTGCAGAGAACACACCCATCAGAAGATGACCCTCAGAAATAGGACAATTGTAAGTAATCAGTAAAATGAACAGGAATACTTCATGCCCACCATAAGATTTTTAGAGACATTTTCGCTTCTTAAATTAGAAGAGATAGAGGGAAAAACGTGTACATACTACATAACTACTAGGCAACCAACCTTTAACTGCAGGAAAGCTTTTGGTATGTGCAATACAGCCATATAAAACCTCTTTAGTATTCATCTTGAGTTTGAGAAAGTACCTTAGTATTTTTTCTAGTGTTTGCCAACATTTTCATGCACACTGTTTGCTTGTTTGTACTATCATTTTATTTTAAATTCTTCAGATACCCTTTGCCTTTGCCAGTTTAGAATCATTTGTGTTAAGGGCATCCTAGGGTTGGTTCCAGAACTTAATTAATTGTAAAGTAAATACTGGGGTACTATACGGTCATAGGTTATGTTAATACATGTATAACATTTTGTTCTGATAGAGGTGGCATACAGGAAAAGAAACAATACTAGATATCACTTCAAAGGAATAAAACAGCTTCATCTTGTAGGTGTATTTTATTTAAGGATCACTACTTCATGTCTGATTTGCCGAAAGTTATTCATAATCTGTTTGACTGTAATTTTTTATATTTTCAACTTCTATCCAGCTTAGTCAATTTTAATTAAATTGTGTGCAAAGCATACCCCAGGAAGGGGGGATGGAGTGTCAATTGTGTCTCTGTCCCTGTCAATATAATTTCAAAGAAGTTAGTAAGGTTTGGGTCAATTTTAAATCCTCTTTAGCAGAACCATGGGGCTAAAAACAATACTAATGTGAAATCTTTATCATTAAGTGTAGAGATGTTTTTGAAGATTATGTACCCCTAATGTACTGATAGTGTTACATTAGAAGTCTAAAATTTGCAAGGAATAGGTGTAAAATCTTTTTAAAATCTCCTTCTTAACAATCAGAAACTAACATACTGTCTAATTAATATGCAATATCGTTTTGTGTGTTGAATGATGATTCCATTTTGATAAAATTATGGCTGATGGGGGTAAGATGAAGATGCAGTTAGACATAGAAGAAAAAAAAGAGTTGATAGAATTTAGTTTTTCTTCCATTTTATTTATCAATACATATTTCTAAATAAGAAATATACTTCTACTTCTTGGTTGGGTTTGATCAACATAAAGGGTGATCTTGCTGTAGTCAAGAAAAACATGTTTTATACGGCAAAGAAATGCCTTTATCTAATTGCAGAATGAATAAAATGGATAGAGGCAGAACTGAAGGAGATGCATGAAATGAGGAATATTTCAAAGATTGCCTTAGCATAACCACTGCTACTGGATAAACATATGGCAATATAAAAGAGCAGGGTCAATGGAGGTATCATACAGTATAGGCCATGGGAGACCCTGAAGAAGAAAGTATTGAATAGAAACAAAAATAAAACCATTTTGACATTTATTGAAATATAGGATCAAAGTCTTACATGTAAAATTTGGGCATGTAATGACTTTTCTCTAGCTCTAAGACTTATAACAGTGATGATTTGATTTAATATTTTTATCCCGATTTGTCGAAAAGATTTGGTCATAGTGCAACAATTATTTTAAAGTTTTGATACAACGAATTCATTCATTGTACTTGTAACTTAGTTTTCTGGTGCAACACTGTTTTATCGGCTTCAGAACTAAGTTTGTGATTTCCAAACCATATTAATGAGATCATGTAATAACTTTTAACATCGGTGATAATTTAATCCATTCTTTTACATCCCAGAAGTTTTTTTATTATTACAGGGAAAATATGCATTGTACATGTATCTGTAATAAACAGGATTATAGAAATTTTCCATATAATACAACACAATCTTAGCAACTGAAGGCAAATATTTTATCAAGGGTGTGATCTATTTATCAATATGGTTTTCAGCATCTTGCTCTACCTGTAATGACTTGCTCCAAGTTCCAATATTTAAATTTAAATTTTGCAAACATGGTTATAAAATTCTTTAAAAGCCAAATAGTTTAGGCACAAAATGCTTATATATTTCCTATCATTTGTAAAGTGTACACTGAATGAGATGTGGAATGTTAGAATTAAAGTATTAAATATGTTTTGGACTTATGTATGCTTATGCAGATAAATTTGAATTCAACTAGGGAAGGTAAATGTCATACTTATTGGGTTTGCAATCTAATGCAAGAGTATAAATATCCAAGACAAATTTTACAATTTTAATGAAGGGTATAAGTAACCCAAGAAGAATTGGACAGGTAAACATCACCTGTTGGGTTTTATTCTAATGTTGGGATGTAATATCCAAGAAGAGTTGAACCAATGTCCAATACCTATTGGGCTTTCTTTCTTATGAAAAAAAATTTGAGTAACCCAAGAAGAATGTCCAATACCTTTTAGTTATATACTATTGAAGGGATGATGATATCCAAGAGGAAATGGACAGGTGTCCATTACATGTTGGGTACTATTCTGATGAGGGGATTCTCAAGAAACCCAAGAATTAGACAAGTGTCCATTGCCTGTTGGGTGGGGTGTAGATATCCAAGAGGAGTTGGACGGATTTACATTACCTGTTGGATGGTATTCTGATGAAACAATTCAAGAAACCCAAGAAGAATTGGACAAGTGTCCATTACCTGTTGGGTGAGATGTAGATATCCAAGAGGAGTTGGACAGGTGTCCATTACCTGTTGGGTGGTATTCTGATGAAACAATTCAAGAAACCCAAGAAGAATTGGACAAGTGTCCATTGCCTGTTGGGTGGGATGTAGATATCCAAGAGGAGTTGGACAGATGTCCATTACCTGTTGGGTGGTATTCTGATGAAACAATTCAAAAAACCCAAGAAGAATTGGACAAGTGTCCATTACCTGTTGGGTGGGATGTAGATATCCAAGAGGAGTTGGACAGGTGTCCATTACCTGTTGGGTTGTATTTTGATGAGGAGATTCAAGAAACCCAAGAAGAATTAGACAAGTGTTCATTGCCTGTTGGGTGGGATGTAGATATCCAAGAGGAGTTGGACGGATGTCCATTACCTGTTTGGTAGTATTCTGATGAAACAGTTCAAGAAACCCAAGAAGAATTGGACAAGTGTCCATTACCTGTTGGGTGGGATGTAGATATCCAAGAGGAGTTGGACCGGTGTCCATTACCTGTTGGGTTGTATTTTGATGAGGAGATTCAAGAAACCCAAATAGAATTAGACAATGTACACATGTTCAATTGTTCTTGGGTAGTTTAATCCCTTCGTCAAAATACAACCCAACAGGTATTGGAGACCTGACCAATGCCTGTTGGATACCTTCATGCTTATTATTAATTGGTCATGACTCAAAAAGGTTTCTCCTTAAATACTTAATTTTGTTATTCAAGAAAGGTTGAACAGAGTCTGAGATGTGTTGAGTTGTGTTTTCACAAATCAGTTTTTTTGCACTAAGGTATTCATATATTTTAATATTAGTTATTTTGAAATATACAGGTGTATATCCTTATTGCTAAGAACAAATTAGTTAGGTGTTACAATAAAAGAGCTATATCACAGAAATTGACTAAAATATGGGTTCAAAACCAAAGGTTTTCAGTCTTGTCTGAATTTACCAGCAAATATTAAATATATAATAAATTTGAAATGAATAAAAAACAATAAGAAAAAACCAAATAAAATACGGACACGAGGATTAATATCCAATAAGATTTGAACAGTAACTACCCAAATAATGCTCTCTCGTGTGTACACTTTTTTGTATCCAATAAGCAGTATCCAATAGGACTTGGACTTGATGTACCCAATATATAACCAAATGTGTGTCCGTCCGCCTAGGAATGACCCAAAACTTCACGTGTAGCTGTATTTCTGGGTACACCGACAGAATATGTCAAACAGGTATTTCACACTGCTTCGTACAAAATGAGAATTCGAGATTTGATTCTGGACCATAAATATCGTTATTAAGAGGTTTTCATGCCCTTAAAACTTGTATTTCATTTTAATGTTATAATGCTGTTAAGTACACTTGACTCAAGTAAACAGTTGATACCATTTATGACATTTTTTACAACATAAGTAAACACTTAATTGACACATATATTGTCCCGTATATTTACATTATTGTTTCTTTCTACATTCCTGAATTGAAATTGCCAGGTTGAATGTGTTTTAATCCTTTCTATACAACTTACCTTTCTAGAAATTGACGAGTGTGCGAGTCAACCATGCCTGAATGACGGGACATGTACAGATTTTGTTAATTCGTTTTCCTGCTTCTGTCATCCTGGATTCACTGGTGCTAATTGTGAAACAGGTATATATGCCTAAGAGTTTTCTTTTTCTAAGATAACTTTAACTATATCAATGAATGGTAAGGACATTATTTTAAGATTATATTATGGTTCATTTGGATTTTATATGTTTTGGTTGCTATTCGTTATTTTCAAATTTCATAGACATAAACGAATGTGCAAGTTTTCCTTGTCTTAACGGTGGCTCGTGTGTAGATCAGATAAACCTTTACCAATGCGCATGCGCTGCTGGCTTTGAAGGATACAACTGTGAGATAGGTAGATACTATGTCTGATTTAGTAAAAGTAGATCTGAGGTTATCTATTAACCTGTTCTATGTCCTTTCTGTCCATAATGGCATGTAACCAGTCATTATTTTATGGTTTTTTTTTAGTACTTCAGTACCTTGGCAGCGATCGAATCAATTACCAACAAATATTTTTATGTTGAATTTTAGCTCTTATAATAAAAAGTATGAATAACTGTTAAAAGATGTCAAAGCCCACCATAGGTTTCAGCAATCGACTGATGATCTTATGCTTTAATCAAATTACTTCATATTACATTTATTTTATCTCCAAAAATCATTTCTGTTATTAATGATAAATACCAACTCTTTACCTATGTATGAAAGGCTATAGACGACTTATCCTTTAACTTTTATATAATTCATTTTTATGTCCATCCTTATATGATTTGCTGCT